TGCAGGATAATCGACGTATCCTCACAGGCGCGGATGGGGCAAGGGAAGGAGGGGATGGGGGGGGGGGTTGCAACAGCTCGGGAAGTCAGGGAAATACACATTTTTTTCTTATTAGTTTTTATTCTTATGATTTCTTTATCTATTATCATTATCATGATTCTTGATATTAACATAATCATCAGTAATCATTTTCATTACTGTTATGTTTATGATTATCATCATTGTTTTCATTATCATTATCCTTATCACTATTAGTATCATAACCACTAGACGTCACTGAGTGCTTCATTATCATTGTTCCATATACTATCCTCTTTGTTATAGGAGTTGATACAATGGTTACGCTCATCATATTCGCTGAAACTTCTATTGAGTTGCTGTAATTATTACTATAATTAATGTCATTGTTATCAGATTTTTCATCAGCATTTCTCTTATTATCATTATGATTATCATCATCCTTGTTACTTTTTATCACTGTCATTATGTATATCACTAATGTTGTAACTATCATTATCATTGATATCGCTATAATTATCATGATTACAATCGCTTTATCATTATCCCTGTTATCGTTGAAATGTCATTATCATTATCACTGTCAAGTATTGTTTCATCGTAACTATCATTGCCATTACCATTTCCCTCATTGCTCTACAATTTACATGTAGATTATTAGAATAATTTTATTGAATATATTGTCATCATCAAAAACATGTCATTACGATTACAAATCTGAGATTTCTTACTAATTTCCCACGTGACGCCATCTCCTCCAGTCTAACATCCTTAATATCAAAATTAACTGAGCTGTTTGGATGGAAAGGTATCACCCTGCCTCGACCCTTACTACAACCATTCAACTGTCTACTTGTATATTTTTACGTGAATATTCATGGTAGATTTTCCCTTTTTTTTTTTAGCACTTTCTTACTCTCGATTGTTTTGCAATTGACGTAAATAATGCGATTTCGAATAATCAAATGCCAATGCTACAGGATCAAATGCCTTCATCATGCCGATAAATGGTATAAAGAAAGGGTTTCTATGCTCATTTGTTTTCTCTTTTTGGTTTACTGTGTAGGTATATGTTGTTTAGGATCCACTTGGGAAAACTTGTCTGTTGATTCGAATATAAGTTTTCACAAGAGGTGAATGAATTACAATTGAAGCAGGCATATATTCTGTGAGTTCTTTAAATCTTTAAAAGTGCTTATACACATACGTACATGCTCTCACATGCACATATATTAGACACGTCCATAGATTATATACATATATACAAATGAAAAATCCCTTAAATAAAAAGTGCTATTAACTGTAGGGCTATTCATTTCTCTTCTTTGTATTCTCTACTGGCCACTCTCTTCCCTCTTCCCTTCTGCGTATATGAATAGCAAGCACAAGTACACGTTTTAGAAGAAGTACCAAATGACAGATTGAATCCCAAGTAAACAAATTGACAGGTTTTGCTGTTTGTGATTCTATTTTTAATGTGTTTCGTTTTTTATTGTTATAGTTTGTTACTTTCTCTGTCGGTGAGACTTCTAGCCTAACCCCTCACGCATATTCTGATTATTTCTTCATTGTGGCCTTTCACTTAATCCTCGTTAGGAATATTGCATTTATTCTATTCCACAATCCATACCATGATCTTTTTTCTGATCTTAGACGTTCATTATTTTTTCAGATTTTATATTTGATGGTAAATCAGAGAAACTATGTTGCTGAAATTCAGTATTTAAGGCGTTGCAGTCAAGTTTAGGTTCTAAAATGCAAATAATACTTAACTTACTCAACTAAGTAATTTAAGGTATGGTGATAGAAAAAAATTGATCAAATTAATCACTGGTTTATTGTCATGAAGCGAAGTCGGAAATGGGTTCGTTGTCCTTCAGGCGAGACGAGAGCGGGAGCTTCGGTCGGAGGGCGCGGTGGGCGGAGTCTTCCTTCGGGAGCCTCACCAGCCGCGTCCATAAAAGCCTCCGCCGTAGCCTCCTCTTCCGTAGTAGCGTCCTCCTCCATAGCCTCCTCCATAGCCTCCTCCATAGCCTCCTCTGTAGGCCCAAGGGTCGGCGTCGGCCAGGGCTTCTGGCTCGGGCATGGCTCGTGCTGCCCCCAGCAGGGCAGACACAGCCATCGCCACAGCGAGCAAGAGCGACACCTGTAGAGCAGACACAATTTAATGGACTTTAAGTTCGAGTCAGTAAAATGTATTTAGAAAAAATAAAGCTAATAAGAACAGGCATACTCACACATATATGCATTTATGTAGACATACGGATCTTATACATATATAATTCTGTTCACAGAAAATGATATTTTTCAGCCATGAAAATAAGTGGACTGACGTGCAAGGATAAATGCAACTTACGAATTTCATTTTGGTGAAGTTGAGCTGATTGTCCCAAACTGTGCAGCTTGATCAGTTGCAGCGCTTTATATAGTGGGGCGCCGGGAAGAGTTGCCAGGTGCAGGATAATCGACGTATCCTCACAGGCGCGGATGGGAGAGGGAAGGAGGGAATGGGGGGGGGGGAGTTGCAACAGCTTGGGAAGTCAGGGAAATACACATTTTTTTCTTATTAGTTTTTATTCTTATGATTTCTTTATCTATTATCATTATCATGATTCTTGATATTAACATAATCATCAGTAATCATTTTCATTATGTTTATGTTTATGATTATCATCATTGTTTTCATTATCATTATCCTTATCACTATTAGTATCATAACCACTAGACGTCACTGAGTGCTTCATTATCATTGTTCCATATACTATCCTCTTTGTTATAGGAGTTGATACAATGGTTACGCTCATCATATTCGCTGAAACTTCTATTGAGTTGCTGTAATTATTACTATAATTAATGTCATTGTTATCAGATTTTTCATCAGCATTTCTCTTATTATCATTATGATTATCATCATCCTTGTTACTTTTATCACTGTCATTATGTATATCACTAATGTTGTAACTATCATTATCATTGATATCGCTATAATTATCATGATTACAAATCGCTTTATCATTATCCCTGTTATCGTTGAAATGTCATTATCATTATCACTGTCAAGTATTGTATCATCGTAACTATCATTGCCATTACCATTTCCCTCATTGCTCTACAATTTACATGTAGATTATTAGAATAATTTTATTGAATATATTGTCATCATCAAAAACATGTCATTACGATTACAAATCTGAGATTTCTTATAATTTCCCACGTGACGCCATCTCCTCCAGTCTAACATCCTTAATATCAAAATTAACTGAGCTGTTTGGATGGAAAGGTATCACCCTGCCTCGACCCTTACTACAACCATTCAACTGTCTAATATATTTTTACGTGAATATTCATGGTAGATTTTCCCTTTTTTTTTTTTTTCTTTTTTTAGCACTTTCTTACTCTCGATTGTTTTGCAATTGACGTAAATAATGCGATTTCGAATAATCAAATGCCAATGCTACAGGATCAAATGCCTTCATCATGCCGATAAATGGTATAAAGAAAGGGTTTCTATGCTCATTTGTTTTCTCTTTTTGGTTTACTGTGTAGGTATATGTTGTTAAGGATCCACTTGGGAAAACTTGTCTGTTGATTCGAATATAAGTTTTCACAAGAGGTGAATGAACTACAATTGAAGCAGGCATATATTCTGTGAGTTCTTTAAATCTTTAAAAGTGTTTTATACACATACGTACATGCTCTCACATGCACATATATTAGACACGTCCATAGATTATATACATATATACAAATGAAAAATCCCTTAAATAAGTGCTATCAACTGTAGGGCTATTCATTTCTCTTCTTTGTATTCTCTACTGGCCACTCTCTTCCCCTTTCCCTTCTGCGTATATGAATAGCAAGCACAAGTACACGTTTTAGAAGAAGTACCAAATGACAGATTGAATCCCAAGTAAACAAATTGACAGGTTTTGCTGTTTGTGATTCTATCTTTAATGTGTTTCGTTTTTTTATTGTTATAGTTTGTTACTTTCTCTGTCGGTGAGACTTCTAGCCTAACCCCCTCACGCATATTCTGATTATTTCTTCATTGTGCCTTTCACTTAATCCTCGTTAGGAATATTGCATTTATTCTATTCCACAATCCATACCATGATCTTTTTTCTGATCTTAGACGTTCATTATTTTTTCAGATTTTATATTTGATGGTAAATCAGAGAAACTATGTTGCTGAAATTCAGTATTTAAGGCGTTGCAGTCAAGTTTAGGTTCTAAAATGCAAATAATACTTAACTTACTCAACTAAGTAATTTAAGGAATGGTGATAGAAAAAAGTTGATCAAATTAATCACTGGTTTATTGTCATGAAGCGAAGTCGGAAATGGGTTCGTTGTCCTTCAGGCGAGACGAGAGCGGGCTTCGGTCGGAGGGCGCGGTGGGCGGAGTCTTCCTTCGGGAGCCTCACCAGCCGCGTCCATAAAAGCCTCGCCGTAGCCTCCTCTTCCGTAGTGCGTCCTCCTCCATAGCCTCCTCCATAGCCTCCTCTGTAGGCCCAAGGGTCGGCGTCGGCCAGGGCTTCTGGCTCGGGCATGGCTCGTGCTGCCCCCAGCAGGGCAGACACAGCCATCGCCACAGCGAGCAAGAGCGACACCTGCAGAGCAGACACAATTTAATGGACTTTAAGTTCGAGTCAGTAAAATGTATTTAGAAAAAAATAAAGCTAATAAGAACAGACACACACACACATATATGCATTTATGTAGATATATGGATCTTATGCATATATAATTCTGTTCACAGAAAATGATATTTTTCAGCCATGAAAATAAGTGGACTGACGTGCAAGGATAAATGCAACTTACGAATTTCATTTTGGTGAAGTTGAGCTGATTGTCCCAAACTGTGCAGCCTGAGCAGTTGCAGCGCTTTATATAGTGGGGCGCCGGGAAGAGTTGCCAGGTGCAGGATAATCGACGTATCCTCACAGGCGCGGATGGGGCGAGGGAAGGAGGGAATGGGGGGGGGGGAGTTGCAACAGCTCGGGAAGTCAGGGAAATACGCATTTTTTCTTATTAGTTTTGTCTTTATCATTATGATTTGTTTATCTATTATCATTATCATTGTTAATATCATTTCCATTGATTATTATTGTTCTTATCACTGTTAATAACATTACTGTTTTCATTATTCTTATTACTGCCATTATTCTCATTTGTATTACTGCTATCAGTCTTAGCACCGTTATTATCAATATTTTTATGATTATTATCATTATCATCTTTATAATCATTAGATATCAGTAGTTCATTATTATTGTTATTTCATAACTAATAATATCAGTATTTATAATTATCGTCATTATTATTATTACTATTGTGTTTTTGCCATTATCATTATTGTTGTTATCATTACATATATAATCATCATTATCATTACCATTATCATTGACAATTACAATCATTATCATTATTGTCACTGATGTTATATATCATTATTATCATTAGTATTATCATTGATATTATTGTCATGATTTGTATCATGAATATTATATTTCTCATCATTAATATCATCAATATTATCGTAAACATTAGTAGCTTTATCACTATCGTTATTAGTATTGCAATGCCATTATCACTATTATAATTTTGATTATCATCATCACTGCAACTGCTAAGAGTGAAGTACCATAGTAACCGTCATTATCGTTACCATCACCATTACTATATATCATTATAATTATCCAAAAATAATTTTACTTCGATTGGTTATCCCTCACGTAACTTCTTCTTTTCCTCCAATCTAACATTTTCTAACATTTTTAATATCGCTTCTTTCTTATTGTCACTCAAGCTAATTATGAGGCAGGAATCATTAAATGTTATCATTATTAGTAATGAAATGTAATTCGACTTACAAAATGAAAACAGATAGTATGCGAAATGCATAGGATAATGCCTGCACACACAGTATATATGTGTATATGTACAGTAATGATTTTGGTTGCATTGAATTAGAGTAAGCTTCAGAAAGTCTATTAATTTTTTAATGTATAGACAGATATGCATGCACACATACCCATCCACACACACACACACACTCATAAATATGCATATATATGTATATATACTGAGGACACACACCGTGTACACATACATATCTATATAAGTATAGATGCATATCTATATATATAAGTACATAAACATATATATAGATATGCACATATATGGTTATCTATCCATATATCTCTCTATATATGAATCTATATATATATATATATATATATACACACACGCAATGTATATATAAATACATATAAACACGTGCATGTATATATGTGCTTATATATGTGTACCTTCACGTATAAACTATGGAAAATTTTCGAAATGCAGGTTCAATATGATTCTTGTCATCTCTAATGCTGTCGTGTTTATTCCTTTCATGTCTGATTTATACTTGGTTCTACAATTCATGTTATCGTTTGACTTTTCGTATTAGATATTTTTCATATCTGATTTTTTCTTCTTTACTATTTATTGGTGAACAGGATATATATGTCCTCAATATTGACATTTCTTAAAATTCTTTTCTCAATCTAACGTTTTGTCAAGTGTTTTTCCTTCGTATTCTTTATTATAGGATCGTCTCAATGCTGTTTTTTTTTATCAATTACCTTTTTTGTTACGGCAATTGCTTATTTATCACTACTATCTCTTAGTCTGACAGAAGGGATTGTAAGGAAGGAATTCGATAAATCTAATCTGGTTTATTGTCTTGAAGCGAAGTCGGAAATGGGTTCGTTGTCCTTCAGGCGAGACGAGAGCGGGAGCTTCGGTCGGAGGGCGCGGTGGGCGGAGTCTTCCTTCGGGAGCCTCACCAGCCGCGTCCATAAAAGCCTCCGCCGTAGCCTCCTCCTCTTCCGTAGTGGCGTCCTCCTCCATAGCCTCCGTAGGAGCCTCTGTAGTAGCCTCCTCTGTAGGCCCAAGGGTCGGCGTCGGCCAGGGCTTCTGGCTCGGGCATGGCTCGTGCTGCCCCCAGCAGGGCAGACACAGCCATCGCCACAGCGAGCAAGAGCGACACCTGCAGAGCAGACACAATTTAATGGACTTTAAGTTCGAGTCAGTAAAATGTATTTAGAAAAAAATAAAGCTAATAAGAACAGACACACACACAAATATGCATTTATGTAGATATACGGATCTTATACATATATAATTCTGTTCACAGAAAATGATATTTTTCAGTCATGAAAATAAGTGGACTGACGTGCAAGGATAAATGCAACTTACGAATTTCATTTTGGTGAAGTTGAGCTGATTGTCCCAAACTGTGCAGCCTGAGCAGTTGCAGCGCTTTATATAGTGGGGCGCCGGGAAGAGTTGCCAGGTGCAGGATAATCGACGTATCCTCACAGGCGCGGATGGGGCAAGGGAAGGAGGGGATGGGGGGGGGGGGTTGCAACAGCTCGGGAAGTCAGGGAAATACACATTTTTTTCTTATTAGTTTTTATTCTTATGATTTCTTTATCTATTATCATTATCATGATTCTTGATATTAACATAATCATCAGTAATCATTTTCATTACTGTTA